CGTATTTGTATTAGCCACCATGCCGTAAGATGAGGTGTGCGCGACGTAACTCGTCCAAATGCTAAGATTAGTCGCCAAATGCTGACTTTGTAAGACCTAGCGCCATTGTCGCGCACTTTCGAGCCGCGACAACGGCACATCTGTGCTACTTGTGGGCTACTCTATCCCACCCACTGAATAGATTCTTCGACACGACTTCTGCTGGGGGTGTTGCTTTGATTTCAAAATTTTCGGATCGGAATTATAAGTTGCAGGCCGAGAGAACCTCTTGATTCGGGAGAGAATTTAAGAAAGAGGTGGGGAGATAGATATGAGATACAGCATGCATTTGGATGCCAGTTGGAGTCGTAATGGCGTCTGAATGCGATTTAGCTTAGGTAAGCACCTACGGAATGGAAGGCTTGGTTTTCAGGAGCGGAACGCAATCCTGAATTTGGCCCCGTAACAGTATGCCTAATAAATGGGGGCACATCCCAGGCCACTACCTCGTCCCGAAAAATCAAGTACGATGGTGAAAAATACAGGGTCGGAGAAACCTTCTTCTTTACCTATTGAGAAGGGTGAAGGTAGTGTAGTAGCCTAGAGACGCCGCGTTACCTGTACCCTTCTCTGCCGATGTACAAGTCATTGTATTTATCCTCACAGACAAATTTGTTCAACTCGACCGAGCTTGGCTGACTTGGGTAAGATTCGTTCCAAAATTTGAACCCTGGACCGTACGTGCAGGGAGTGGCACTGCTTGCCGCTACACCACCTTTGCCCCAGCTCGACGACTGCAAAGAATAATATGCCCTCGAAAGATGTGAGCAGCGTTGTTGTTGTTATGCCCTCGTAAAAGCGTAACGGGCCAGATCTAATTTTATCGACTTCCATCGTTACCGGCGTTTTTACCGTAGTACGCCCTGTCATCGCTTGCGGCGCCATTGCGTACTACGAGCAAACTTGAGAGGATGGTGCTGCTTTTTCTACTTTACGTTCCTCTCCTCTGGTACCCTCCCTCAGTTACGCGCACCTCCTTCCGAGACCTCCTCCTTTACAAAAATCCGGTTCTGCTTCCGGCCTCGTCCGCGCGACGCTCCCTCCGGATTATCATTGCTCTCACGCCCTCACCACTCGACCGACATCGCTTCGCCCGTGCCAGAACTGCTCACATTGGCTGCCTATCAAATCGAATCATATTTGATCTGCTGGTGACGGGAAAATGATGCGCGAATTACATAATCGTTTTGAACAACAACAACTACTTGAATCTGGTCATTACAGCTCGAGGAAGAGTCTTGGACCAAGTCAAGCACATTCCTACAACGATGTGGTAAGTATATTTCGCCTTTGTTTTCATTACTTTACAATTTCTAATTTTTGGATTATTTTTGTTTTGGATTTCCGTGAAGTCAGGTGTCTGATAAGAGTTGCTGACATCTTAAACAATTTCTTCTCTCTCAAATTGATTCTCGCTCATTTGATTACTCACCTAGCAGTTACCATTTACAACTTATATTTCTGTGGATATTTTGTTTTTAAATTTTTATTAC